ATCCTAACCTATATATAGGGGAATCAGAAGGCATTAGAACCCTATCACCCATATCTCCCTCTCCCCACATGAAATCCTCTCCCAAGAACATAATCAAAGAATTCCCCATCAACGGGCTTAGGGCGAATCGATTGAGGAAAGATCTTAGGAAGTTGTGAGAAGTTTAATTAAGCTAAAAAGGTAACACATGTCTTACAAAATCTATTTTCCTTGCTATCTTTTATTGATTGGCTCCGTTGAACGATTGAATGTATGATTTTGTATTTGTGCCTTGTTAGAGCTTGTCTTTAGGAATTTGGGATATGGATTGTTGTTATTCTTGATGTTCTTGGTGGGCCTGTGTGGTCTTGGTATGTTCTTGTATTTAATTATGTTTAGAGCTTGTCCTTAGGATTTATATTGTAAATCTTGTTGTTGTGATGTTCTTGGCGTTCTAGGGTGGGTTTATGCATGCTCAGGTGTTGATTCAAGGTTAGGGCTTGTTGTTAGGGCTTTGCATATAGATTTCTGGATGATATTGAGATTCCTGATGCTCTTGGACCATTATGTGTTTAATCTCGGATCTTGGCATGTTTAGGGATTGTGTTTAGGGTGTAATTGTGGTGTTTCTTGATAGAGCCCTTGCATAGGATTTATATTGTGCCTATTTGATAATCTTGATGTTCTTAATATTGTGACTGACTATATGTATGATCTCGTATTTTAATTATGTCTAGAGCCCTAGGGTTTATATCGTGAATTCCGTATTATGATGTTTTTGGTATATTTGGGTGGGTTTATGCATGATCGGGTGTTGAGTCTAGCCTAGGACTTGTGTTTAGGACTTTGCATATAGATTTCTTGATGTTCCTGTGGTTCCGGATGCTCTTGAACCATTATATGATTTATGTTGAGTCTTGGCATGTTTAGGAATCATGTTAGAACATATTTTGTATGATTCTTGGTTTGTTTCCGTTAATTGAATACGTGGTGTTGTTGTTATGTGTTTGAATGTGTTTGGACATGGTTTCGGGTTCCACGAGTGATCCCGGGACCGAAGAGTTGTCTATGTACCAGTGGGGGTAGGTGGGGGGATGACTGCCCACCACCCACCCGCTGCCCGGCGAGTACCTACCCAGCGGGCAACCGGCGGGCGGAGGCCTGCCCACCGGCCACCCGCTAGAATGTTGGCTGCCCGCCGGCGGGTGGCTGGTGGGTGGTCATCCACCCGCCACCTACCCGCTGGAAATTTGTCGTGGTTCGTGATGTTTTCCCCGTTTGTTGTTTCCCCCTGTCCCGTTGTACCCCGTTTGTCGTGTATGGTCTCGTTTGGTGTTTTGCGTACCGTTTTAGGAAATTATGTGTAGTACGTGTCATTGTTGTTATGTGTTGATTGTTATTGATTGATTATGTGTTGCTTGATTGAACGGTGATGAGTATCGTGGTCATTGTGCAATGGCCGGTGTGATTGATGATGATGATGATGATGATGATGATGATGGTGATGATGATGATGATGATGATGATGATGATGATGATGATGATGATGATGAGATTGTGATTGGTGGAAATGAATTGTTGGCGGTTGGCACCACTTGTGCCCGGTCATTGTACTAAAGGTACAGGCCTAGCGGTTACTGTGCTCCACCTTCGACCTGCTTCCCGTTGAGCATGGGTCAGGTTATAAGTGCTGCGGTGTCATGTCAGGGCTATATGCGCTGACCCCTTGATATTGGCACTAGAGGTGCGGATCATGCGAATGGCACTGCGGCGCTATCTTGATATGTTGGTGGTTGAAAGGTGGTTTGTCGGTGGGGGCATGTAGTTACCGGGAGGAATAAGGGAGGCGATATAAGGGTGGCCTGGAGGTATAGGTTGGAACTGATATAAGGACGGAGGGGAGCTACACGGTTGGAACTTGGTATAAGGTCGGAAGATGGATTGTGTGCTTTGATGATTACTTGCTAACTGATTGTCTTGAATGCCCTTGTTGTCTCTATTTGTTATATACGTGCCTATCTATCTGTTACGTCTTGTATCGTATTCTTAGAACACATGCTAGTCTTTATGATTATTTTATACTGTTGAGTCTGTTGACGTGTCTTGAGTCTTGATCTTGGATTTAAATTAGTGTCTCGTAAGTATATATGTATTCCAGTTTCAAAATGATTTCTTATATCTATCTATATTGTACTTAACGCATTGGAGTGGGTTACCAGCATTATTCGCTGACGGTTGTTACACCGAATGTTTTTCAGGATCAATTGAGTAGCTTCGGAGTGCGCTAGTCGGATTCGTGGACTTAGTTTAGATAGTTCTAGCCTTGATGAGCCAGCCTGCGTGCCTTGATTTACATTTGGATATTCATGATGGTTTATGCTTTGTAAGATAGTTTAGCCTGTGCATCTGGGTTCTCCAGCTCAGATGTGGCATAACACCCCTACTATTATGTTTCGTTTATGCTCTGTTTGCGATTAAAATATTAGATTCGCCTTTATTTTATAGGTTTTAAATATATCAAAATTTAGGGGTGTTACACACTTTCTACGGCACAATTTCACTTGTTCCTCTCTAAGCTGGGCGTTCAAGACTTACACGCTCCAGCTTACGTGGCGGGGGGGGGGGGGGGGGTTATTGGAGCATGCAGCACGTGAAGAAGCTCACCAAATTGAAGGACAATAGAGTAAAATAGCTTGTGGCAATTGTAACCTCCTTTCCCGCTAATCTCATTGTATATATATGCATGTTATCTCTTCTCTGAACAATTAATTCATTCAGACTACAATCAATAAAATGTTTCACTCTGTTCACTTCATTCTTCGCGCTTAGCCCGCTCGTCACACAAAGCTACACTCAGTAGGATTTTCACAACTCCTTGCTACTCTCCATCTTTCTACACTCAATAGAGATGAATTTTACAAAGAAAATAATTTTTCTCTCTCAGGCTTGAATTCTAATCATGTAGCTCAAACACTTGCACTTTCTAGATATTTTTCGTTGTTTTGTGACTTCGTACTTGCCTTCAAGTCTGCTTGGGTATTTATAGCTTAATAAAGCTATTTGCCCGTTGTAGATCTTCAAATCTTGATCATTCGCTTGATTTGATAGCTTTTGTTAACTTGTTATGCAACATTTAATGACTTGAGCAACTTTGTCAGTTGAATTTTGAATTTTGCCTCTTATCTTTATCAAAAAGTCTTCTAGTTTGGACAAAGAAGATAAGCCTTGAAACTTGTAGCTCCAAAACTTTGACTTTGTTGCACCTTCTGATAATGTGAACATATGACATGTTATTTGTTGATCTGATTTGTCAAGTTAATCCTAATAATTCAGACTGTTGATTCTTGCATGAGCTTAAATTAATTCCTTCTAAAAAATCGTGTCTTCTTCGTAGTCAGATCTTAGCTCCAAGTAGAAAAATTTGTTGCACCCTTCGAATTATTTCTGCAAGGGTCATCTTCTATAAAATTGATCTTTTTCCTATTTTAGAATAGAGGTCATCCTCTTTCTAAAATTGGCAGTCGACATTTCTCCAAGGGTTATCCTAGTTGACTACATGATTTTGATTTGGACTGTTGTCATCAACCTGCTCCGGGTATGAATTAATTAATTCTTCAAAAAGAATTAATTTAGTTTCAAACTTGTGACCTTTGACTTAAAATATTGTCACATTGCTTGACCATACTCCACTTCTTCCTTTGTTGTCAAGTGAAAGCAAATGATTTACATGTAGAAAAATTTTCAATTACTAATATTTTTCCTTACGAATTTTGGTTTGGCTTGGACTTATAGAAAATATTTTTCTAGACTCAAAATAAAATGTGGGATCTACTTTAAATACATTTTTGACTCATCAAAACAATTACACTTTATTTCTAACATATTTCCATCTGCAAATATATTATTTTACTCAATTTGTTCTTCCTTGCAAAGTCGTCCATTATTAATACATTGTTGTTGCATGCTCTTTTCGCTAAATTCAAAGAAGATTCGGGATTGATGACACTTCTAAAATCATCAATAGGGTCAAGTGTTCAGGGTGACTGCATAGCTTCAAGAGACCCTTTAAACTCATCAATGTCAATCCAATCACCACTATTCACATTGGTTTTTAAATTAACATATCTTCAACTTTCTTACTTCTCATTCTCATCTTTGCCTCAGCTCATTGATTGTATTCTTATACTCTTATAGATTTAGAACATCCAGCAACATTTCCTATTATATGTGTAACGTGCTCTTTAATTCTATAAACTCCACCAAACATAACCTCCCTGCAAAATATACCATATTCCCAGCCTACATTATTTGACATCCATTTAAGTGTGAATGTTTCAGATGATCTAACAGTCAAAGCACTTAATGATCCCTTTATAAATTATAAATTTCAGTGTCACAATCAATGTAAAAAGATACACAATCAATTTATAATTATATTCAATACAAATTTACAATCCACACTGCCAAATTACTGCTTATACACTGCCAAATCACTCCACTTAGGATTTTCTATAACAATTTTTGGATTTAAAGCATACCACTCACATCACTAACAAGAATTGAATCACAAATTCACAATATTTAGAAAAGAAAAATTGAAACAAAATTTTTGAGTTTTGACAGTGAACACTGGACAGTTGCTCTACTTGAGGACCTGGATGACACTACTACAGAAATAACATTTAACGTCGGATTTATAACGTCGGTTGTTTATAAAATCGACGTTAAAAGTCAAATGAATTAATAAAATATTTTCAAAAAACATTTAACGTCGGTTTTTACTTACAAACCGACGTCTTAAATCAATAAATTAAAAATGATAAAAATAAAAAAGACATACGACATCGGTTAATTAAATAACCGATGTCATATGTAATTTCTTTTTATTTAAAGATTTTTTAAACCATATACGACGTCGGTTAGGCATTACACCGACGTCGTATTTGATTAAATTTCTTTTTAAATATTAAATTCCCTAGGACTTATTCCAAAAAACATAAAAGCAGGCATCGAACCTCGAAACAGAAACCCACCCCCTCCATATTCTTCTCGTCTCTCCGCCTTACCGCTGCAACCAAGGCCACCGTCTACCTTCTTTCTTCTTCTTCTCTCTGTCGCACAGGCACACCGCTCACCGCCGCACTCCCGCACCGCCGGACAGCTGCACAACCGCACACTCGCGCCGCCTGACAGCCTCACTGCCTCACCACTGCACAGCGGCACCGCCGCCACGACCTACCTTAGCTTGTGAGTTTTGTATATTTTTTGAAATATTGTTTCAATTTTTTGAATTTTTGGAAGTTGACAATAATTATTTAATTACATTTGGAATTATTGATTAATGTATTTCGAATTTTAGGGTTTATTCAGTACATATTTTGAATTTTATAAGTTATTATATATATATATTTTGAATTTTTGGAATTATCGTGTAGGATGATTGTTATTATATATTGAATTATTGTTAATTTATTTCAAATTTTAAGAATTATTGTACTATTTTAGGAAGATGTTCTTGTTTCTTTTGGTGGATGCAATGGTCGGTATTGTAATGAGGTGGGGTAAATTACTTTTAAATCGTTCTTCACAGCTTCTCTCTGTTTGCCTTTCTCAACTTGGCTTTCTTTACTATTCTAGGTCAATGTACTCAAACTAAGCCACAAATCAACCTTGCAATCAAAGATGGTTGAGATTCCAGTTCTGCTGTTCATAATGCTACAAATGCAACCAGAGATATGGAATCAGAACATTGAAACCAGCCAAGAAAGAAAAATTAGTGAAATTGTGATGGACAATGATTCACAGCCAATGGTATTTTTAATGTTGAAATACTTAATATCATGTCTTTTGCTGCCAATAAAATGAGTTTCATATTAAATTTTTTGCTTGACAATCTCTCCACTATCACTTTTGCTTGAGGAAAGTATAATCCATATCAGTTCTAATACATCTTTTGTTATTAATGTTCATTGTAGAGTTTCTACTACAATCCAATTCTCATCCATGTCCATATATTTCTTTAAACATGTAGTCTGCTTTTGTTGTGAGAATTCTCCATATATAGAAGTCTGATGATTTCTGTTTGATGTTGCTATCATTTGATTTCTTCACATCTCTATTTAATTTCACTCCTACTTTTTTTTTTTTTTTTTTTTTTTTTTTTTTTTTGCAACTGCATAATTTATTTAAACATCTAATTTTTTTCCTTTGCTTATCCCCTTATGGTTTGAGCTGACTGTGCTATGCAGGTGAAAAAGGTTGAAGAAACAAGTGAACATCTTTTATCAGCCCTTAAGGCAGAGAAGGAAGAACTAGAGTCATCTCTCAACAAAGAAAAATTGCAAATGCTTCAGTTGAAGCAGGAGTTAGCAGATGCGGAGACTCGCAAATTCATGAATATGGTGAGGGGTGAGTGGTGGCTATTGGCGCCTTTTCCTTCCCTTTTCTCTCTCCTGCGGGTCTCACAAAAAATCACCATTTGTAGGAGGAGCTAAAAAATTATCTCTTATCCCTCTCTCTCATCCACATAAGCATTATTTGTCTAAAAAATTATGAAAAACCAACTAATGTGGTTAACCTTAGTTACTCGCTATAATACAATTATACCACTGAATTCATTAAAAAATTGTAAATGACCCATCAAATATAAAACATTTTGCAACTCTTCAAATTGCAGTTATACGTAATAATATATATTTAATTGATTTATGTCATATTGCGATATAATAACTTGTTAAAGGCCGCCTAAGCATGAAATCTCATCGGGCTAGGCCAAGGCCACTTGGGTCACCTAGCAATAGTTATTGCGTGGACCGTGATCAACACAGCTAACGACGTCATTTTGTATAAGTTTATTTTTTCGCGTATCCAGTTACAACATACATTTTATAATTCATAGTGTACATTATTCTAAAGCATAATGTATATTATATTACCCCAGATTTTTCATTATTCTAACACGTAATGTACATTATTCTAACACGTAATGTACATTATTCTAAATCATAATGTACATTATTTCTAACACGTAATGTACATTATTCTTATACATAATGCACATTATTCTTATACATAATGCACATTATTCTAAGATATAATGTATATTATTTTTACTCATAATATTCTCAACGATGTTTTTAAATCTTGGTCCCACAACTGTGCGGACCATGGTTCGCGCAATAATTTGCTGTCACCTAGTGTCTAATCTCGATCTCGCTCGCTCTCTCACTCACACACACACATATTTATATGTATGATTATATTTATAATTATAATGGGGTGGGGTAGGGGGCAACTGCCCCTATCTAAGTCTGCCCCTAAATATACATTTTATGAAAATTATACTATTTAGATTATTCTCTATATTTTTCAAATATTATAATTAAAATTTACGACTTAAAGGAATTGTGAAATATTTATTGAACTATTTTTTTTAATTATTTTTATTTGATAATATTGCCTACAAAATGCTTAGTTATTAGTTCGGAGTATACGTAAATTAACAATACGTTTGGTTCAGAGGAGGAATGAAACTAAAATTTTATATAATAACAAAAAATTATCAGTTAGGTAACACTTGTGTGATACCGTCGTGAGACGGATTGGATCTTTGATTTGGATCTTTGATTAATGGATTGAATCTTCAACCTCATTAATCAAAGTTCTGATTCGTCACACGGATTGAGAGCCATGAGACGGTCTCACACAAGATTTTGTCTTATCAGATAGATTGATTCTATTATTTGATTGGTAAAAAAGAAATTACTACAAATATGAACTCTATTGTTTGTTTTGGTTTTTGTTATGATAAAGAATAATGAATATAAAGATTAATATACCCTACACAATAATAATAATAATAATAATAATAATAATAATAATAATAATACAATAATATAATTATAATAATTCATAAATTAAAATATTATAATAATATATAAATTACAATATCATAAATTAAAATATTATACATATTTCGTCCAAAGATAATTTGAAAAGTTCGAGGGCAAAATTGTCGGGTTGTATGTGTCGAAACTCTAAATGAGACCCCATTCTCATAGAAGTTGGCAATTTATATCCTACACCACGGCGCGCGTTGCACTATGCGCCTAGATGCAAAACGACGTCGTTTTAATTTTTTTTTTTTTTTTTGAAATTTCCCGCCCCAGTGAATGGCAGTAGTTTTTTCTTTAAAAAAAATCCGCTGTTCAAGAATGTACATAATGTTATACTAGAATACACATAATTGTATACATGAATGTACATAATTATATAACAAAATATACATACTCTTTTTAAAAGATAATACACATAATCTAACATAATACATAATAAACATAAACTTTTAACATAATACACATCAACTATTAACATAATACACACAAATTTTCTGATTCGGATGTACATAATTGTATAAAAAGAATGTACATAATTGTATAAAAAATGTACATAACTGCATGAACCAATACACATAACTGTATGAACCAATACACATAACTGTATAAACAAATACACATAACTGTGTGAACAAATACACATAATCCTAGCAACTTTCTACCGCGCCTCCCAAAACGACCCCAAAACGACGTCGTTTTGAGAGGCGCGCAGCGCACAGTGCTATGTGCGCCGTGGTGTAGGGTATAACGATTGATAGAAGTTGTACTTGAAGACAACTTTTGGTATACTTTGCATTAAGGTAATATATATATATATATATATATATATATATATATATATATATATATATATATATATATATACTTTTTTATGTTTCTGACTTTATTACAATGTAGTATCTATTCATACATACTTTCTCAACTTACTGAAACACAAAGAGACATATTCTGACTTTATTACAATGTAGTATCTATTCATACATACTTTCTCAACTTAGTGAAGCACAAAGAGTCAATGTCTCTGACTACAAAGTCTTTGGAAAGTAATATCCTTTATGTCAACTATTATGTATTTATGTAATCTGATGACATCATGAGTGGTCACAAGATTGCGCCCTAGTGGTGAAGACATTGATTTTGAATTGAAAAATATTGAGAAAGTATAGAACAAATATTCCATGATAAAGAATAATTAATATACTTTAAAAAAATCATATGAAGTTTATTTCAATTCTTGTACGAATAAAATATTTGAATAACCGCACATTGAATTATAATTTTTGGTACAAAGAGGAGTTGAAATTAGAAATCAGAACCCCCTTCACGTTTCTGAACATAGCAGCAGATGCATTATAAATGGTACTGTTTCTGAAGATCAATACATAGCTTGTGGACAGCAATTTGTTCCTTTTAAGTTTTAACATAACAAGCCACAGCAATAATTCATTCCATAACTACAGTCCATTACTCCAATAGACATCAGAACAGCAGTTAAGTCTGTTAGAAATCGCTGCTGACAAGTTTCACTATTTTCAAATGCATCTGTTTCAAGAACATCTAATCCTGGCTCTCACATAGTGCCAGGACTCAATCAGAAAATCACCAAGGCGAAGATTCATTACCATTCTCTAGTATTGAAGCTACAGCAAATTAGATTTTCCAGAATGGTTTAAAATAGAACATCGATGCCTTGAGTTTCACCTCAGCTCGTACTGACCTCTTAGCTCTTAGTTATATGAAAGCCTAAATATGATGAAGAAGCAATTTTAAACACAGCAAGAAAATGGAAAACCACCCTGATTTAGCCTGGAGTTTCAATGTAAAACTTCAAAACTATGCTAAGTTGGTAGGGAATCAATCAAAACACTCACTCATCTTACCTAAAACTATATATATGTTTGGAAAAATGACATATTTGATCCTAGGTTATAACCTAGATATAGACTCTCTATTCTTGAAATGTTGGTTTTTATTCTTTTTGTTAATATCCCATTAAATTAGAATGGAAAACCAATAAAAATGTTTAAATGGCAAGGGTAAATATGAAATTTTGATTTCATATCTGTTCATTTATATGAGAAGGATGTTCCTAGTATTGAAGTGTTCTAACTTGGAACAATAGGAACATCTGTAAGGAGGAGATAAAAATCAAAATTTTATGTTTACTCGTGCCATCTAAACTTTTCTATTGATTTTCATCCAAATTTAACATAATATTAACAAAATCGACCATAACTGAGGGACTAAGTTTATACTTTAGATATAACTTGGGGATCAAATGTGCCATTGTCCCTATAGTTTTTATTATGTGCCCAAAACATGCATACTCACAAGTCACAGCTAAACCTTCCATTCTGCACCAAATACAAAGATGTATAACATGCCAATTTATTAGTCCATGATAATGCATTAACCCAAATAACAAGAAGCACACAACATACAGGGAAAAGCAAAAGCATAAATGGCACCCGCCAGATTTAGCACAAAGTAGGTATCATTCTGATTGCAGGGTAAATCTACAATGAGAAAGTAGCATACACCAAAACTGAATACTGTCTTTAATCTCGAGTTTGCATTAAGATTAAACCAACAATGAATACCTCATACACGGTTGAATCGAAATCATCTGGAGCAACTCTAGCAATCCAATCATTAAGAGTCCTCTTTATATCCACATGATTAACATAAGCCAATTCATACATACTACACAAGATGCATTCAATAATGAGAAAGTAGCATACATCAAAACTGAATACTGTCTTTAATCTCGAGTTTGCATTAAGGTTAAACAATGAATACCTCATATTCGGGTACACGTCGAATCGAAATCATCTGGAGCAACTCTAGCAATCCAATTATTAAGAGTCTTCTTTATATCCACATGATTAACATAAGCCAATTCATACATACTACACAAGTTCACCACCACAGTCTCGTTCAATGCCACGGTGGGAACCCGCTCCAAGGCATTCTCCAACACTTTGATAGCATCAGATAAGTCCCTCAAATACATCAAACACAATGCCTTGTTGTTGATTGCCACCATATCCATCCCATCCCTCTCTATGCACTCCTCGTACTCCCTCACAGCAGAAACATAGTCTTTTCCTAGAATATAAATCAATGCCTTGTTCCTGCTGACTAAATTCTTCAACCTCACATCATCCTCATTCTCAATTATATCTTCTACTACTTTGAAAGTTGTTTTTGCTCCTTCCAAATCTCCATACTGCATCTGGACATGTCCCAGTTTTGACACCAGAAAGGGATCATTCCCACATCCTCTTTTTCCAATCAATTCATTCAGCAAATCCGAACACACCTTGAACTCCTTCTGACTCAAATGGTAACTGATTATAGTATTTATCACAAAAATTTCGCGTTTTCTCCACAAATCTTCTGAAACTTTTGACCTTGACTGCAAATTGTTCAGTTTCTTGGAACGAATGAAATCGAGGAGGGAGTACAGGCGATCGAGAGCTTGCTGGCGCTGACCCAGGGTGGAGGGGAGATGAGCGTGGAGCCAACGGAGGGCGAAGGGGACCATGGAGCCCTTGGAGTTGGGGTAATGATTAGGGTAAGTTTCGTATACGTATTGGGAGCTCTCGAATTCGTCGCCTTCAAGCACGGTGTTGAGCTCGTTGCCGGCGTCGGAGAAGCGGCGGAGCTTAGTGAGAGCAAGGACATTGTAAGTGAGGTAGATGAGGTGCTCATGGGGCTTTGTGAGGAGGGAAAGCGAGCGAGCGCGGCCAATCTTGTCAAGGATCGACCGCCACGCTCCTCGGCAAGCCAGATCCTGCAGGGCGCCTAGTTCGTGGCAGTGATCGTTCAGCGAGCCGTATGGATTGTTTAAGGGATCATCAATGGCAGTGGCGGCGCCGGAGTCTGCGTCAGCAGTGGCGGTGGGAGCTGTGTTGAATGGAGGTTGATCTGAATCTGGATCTGCGGTCACCGTAGCGTCCATGGCGGATGCCGGAGATTGAAAAGTGCTAACGTGAGCCGAGCTTTGGTATTGGTCTTTGGTTTTTAATGTGGAGAGGAATAAAATTTTCTGAATAAAATGGAATTGTTTCAGGCTCCCAAGCCCAATACATTTATTTGGGCTTTCTATGTAATCTGCAAATTTTTCTTTCCACTTTGAGGTGGGCAAATTATGCCGTGCATCCGTGTGCACCATGTATGGTGCACACAGATGTAAAAACGATGTCGTTTTTACTAAAAATATACGTTCTACTTAAAAAAAAATTTATTTTCGATTCTCAGCAACAACATTATTTTGTTCATTCATTCTAAATTTTTAGTTCATTCGTTTTGGATTTTTAGTTATGAAATTATGAATGTGTAGTTATGCAATTCTATATTTATAGTTATGAAGTTATGAATGTGTAATTATGCATGGTGTAGTTATGCGATTCTAGATTTATAGTTACGAAATTATGGATATATAGTTATGCAATTCTGGATGTATAGTTATGAATTTATAGATGTGTATTTATGAAGTTATGGATGTGTAGTTATGCAATTCTGGATTTATAGTTATGAAGTTATGGATATGTAGTTATGCAATTCTGGATGTATAGTTATGAAGTTATATATGTGTAGTTATGCATGCAATTCTGGATTTATAGTTATGAAGTTATGGATGTATAGTTATGCAATTCTGGATGTATAGTTATGAAGTTATGGATGTGTAGTTATGCAATTTTGGATAACGCTCAGTTTGAGGTGTCACTCAATTGTTATACCATGCACCCCGGTGCACATAGCAATGTGCGTCTCGCGCCTCCCAAAACAACTTCGTTTTGTTAAGTTGTGTGGGAAGTTAACGCCACGGAAATGTATGTATATTCAGTTATAAAATTCTGTGTTTTCAGGTATAAAATTATGTGCATTCTGTTATACAATTCTGTACATTCGAAACAGGGGATTTTTATCCTTTTAAAAAAGATTATGTGTATTTAGTAATAAAATTATGTGTTTTCAGGTGTAAAATTCTGTGCATTCTATTATACAATTTTGTACATTCGAAACATGAGAATTTTCAGTTATAAAATTCTGTGTATTCAGGTATAAAATTCTATGCATTCTATTATACAATTCTGTACATTCGAAACATGAATTTTTGTTTTTTAAGAAGTTAACAGCAGACACACGAAAATGCCCAAAACGACGTCATTTTTGGGCAAGGGAGCACACGGTATAGTTTGTCTTTACATCCTCCTAGATGCTCTGTCGGGCGGAGGTGTAGGAAGCCCTTAGGTTTGGGGATTCAACCTTTTGGGAAGAATAAACTAGGCAAATGCGTTCGTTCTCCAACAACTCAGTTATAGGAATGAATTGCTATCCTAATTCATTTGTATGTACGATATATTTTTTGTCTAGATATATAGCAAATTTTCCATTTAAAAAAAAAACCTAATATCACCGATTATATTTACACATTATTGAAATCTCTTTGTACACGACATTGATAGTGGCAACACAATATTGTCCATCCTCGTCTAGAGCTAACGCCTTCAGTCTATCAGGAGGGGTTACTCGGTTGAAAATATATAATGATAGAATATCACTCAATTAGTGATCCTTTTATATTTTCAATCAATTAGTAATATCAGATTCATTTTCAGCCAATTATTCTTTTTTATTTTCAGTCAATTAGCCAATTAGAATATCAAATGCAGTGATATTTTTACCTAATTTTCGTTCCATTTTTAATTGATGATGTAGATATTATTATTGAAATATTTCTGTTCCATTTTTACTTTACCTTTACTATTGTTTAAAATATGCATTTACTATTGATGATGTAGAATATTATTATTGAAATATTTTTGTCTAATTTTTAATTTCCATTCCATTTTTAATTAAATGCAATGATCTGACCATTTATTTTTTTTTATTTTTTGTTTATTTTAGTCAATTATAGATTGATAGTACTAATTCCCGCTCGTATAGGATGTATGTACTGTATGTATGTATGTGAATGTATGAAGAACAAACAACTAGATCAAAGGGGTTATTTCATTAATAAAAGTTCTTGGGTGTTTGTTTGTAGAAAGAAGGGAGATAGCACATCACAAGCATTAGAGAGAGAGAGAGATGTAGTGAAGACCCACAATAATGAGGGCTAAGAGCCCTTTTATAGGCACACGGAGGTGGCGGGTTTGACCCGTCACCTTTGACTTGGACTCGCGGACTGGGTCCTGAACCGCTTGACCCCGACCCGACTATAAAACGGAAACACCTACCCGGGGTATATATCCTATCAAGAAGCCCCCCAGTCCGTACCCTGACGACGAGGTAATGAGGAAGGGTTCGGGCTGGAAAAACTGGTTACACGGTCCGTGACAGGCGCCGGTTGCCTCGTTAAAAACCTTAAGCTAATAAAAAACCCATTGGGAAAAAATTTTAGCCAAGAAAAAAAAGAGTACAACACTGAGCGTAGTCTGGTTGACAAAAAAGGGGGGTTGCCCGAACTAGGGGTCAGACTTGCAACACGATTTGCGAGATCATACTTTGCCGGTTTAACGACTGGACTGCTGAACATAGGGGTGTCAATACGGGCCGGCCCGCCCCACCGCAGGCTTTTTATTTGGCGGGCTTTGGCGGGCTGGCCCGCGAAGCCCGCGGGCTTGGAACTATACAACCCAAGCTCGCCCCATGCGGGTCTCGCGGGCTGGCCCGCTGGCCATTACTTAAATTTAGAAAAAAAACATTAAATAGTATATAAACATATTAAAACCGCTTGAAATATGGCACCGGAAACCTCCATAAAATCCATAAACCTCTCCCAAATCACCCGGATCGATACCGCGCGTTCAACAGAACTGTAGACGGGTGATCAAATCACGGGTTCAACAGCACACTCGATTTCTCTCTCGGCTTCAGATTTTCCCTCTACAATTCCCGTCTGTGTATAACACATATATAAATATGTATGTTTGCTAGACTTGGAGGCGATTTAGTAATTCATAAATATGTATGAATTGATGATTTAATTTTAGTAATTATTTGATAGAGTTGGAGGCGAATGGTGACGGGAGAACCGAAGAACTACGTACTCTAGGAATTATTGAATTAAGAATTGGCGAAGGATTATTGAATTATTGGATTTCTCCCCTTCTACGTACTCTTAGATAGTTAGATCTACACATTGCCTAAGAATTAAGATATTATATATATGATTTTTTTTAAAAAAAAGATATTATATATATAATATATTTATTTATTTTTTAAATATGACCTAGCCCGCGGGTCGGCCCGCAACCCGCGCGGGTTTGCCCGCGTGGGCTCTGGCCATCCGCGGACCATGCCCGTTAGGCCCGCATTTTCGCGAGCCTAATTTCTTGCGGCCCTAACCCGCCCCATTGCGGGGCGGGTGCGGGCTAACCCGCGGGCTTCGGCCCACTTTGACACCCCTAGCTGAACATGACCGGGGGGTCGATTTGGTTGTGATCCGAAGATCTACTTTACCAACTACGGTATTGGATTGGATTCACGTACGATTAATGGATCAAACTCTTGCGTGGAACGGAAGTCAAATTGCGTCGACCTAGGGGTCTACTTGCACCAATCGGGAGATTGGGCTTTTAACGCGGTCTAGCGATCAAGTATTACCAATCAAGAGATTGGATTCTACTCGCGGTCTGGGAACCTCAACTGATCGTGCGATTTTTTTGTGGGAACAATCTTCCCAATGCCCTTTACTCGGGCTAACTGATTGCAACTAGTTTGAGCTCGGTCAAGCTCTAATCTAGATTACACGACTAATAGATCGCTTTTAGTTGGTGGCGACTGGCTAGCCTTTGGTGACTGCATTAGCCACTACGATAGGTTTTTAAGGACAAAAAAATTAGACTGATCGGGGTGCACTCGGTTTATGAACCGAGGGTCCCAAGCGAAGGGATACTACGAGGCCCGAAGGTCTAACGATAGCGAAATGCGTTGCAAAAATGATAATCATCTGAATGGGGAGTTTGCTCCCTTTTACGTTTAGTTTACGAACCGAGAGCCCCCGAGCGAAGGGATTGCTAAAAGACCTGAAAGTCTAACGACGACGAGATCGGGAAGGTCGGTTAACTCGGGAAATGATGACGGGAACAGGAAAATCGGTCTACACAAGAAGTGCTTTTGGCGAACGGCTACTCTGCAGCGTAGCCCCCCACTCCCTTAGGTGTGAGAATCGTCAGCATATGGGAGTAGATGCGATGGGTTCTCGAATTCGCCTTCTCACTTTGATTGTGATCGGGAATGACCCGATCGAGCTTATGATGCCAATGCATCGGATCATACTCACAGCGTCGATGATCAGGAAGGGACCCAATCGAGTTGACCGCGGCGGTGCACCACCGGGCCACTTGCCTAACCTATAGGACTTTGAAACTTTGCTAAATCTAAAACATACCGATCAAGGGATTGGACCCCTAACGCGATAGAGGATTTATACGCAACCGATAGAGCGATTGGATTTTGGGCATGATCAAGCGATCAAAAAATTGACCAATCACCAGATTGGTTTTGAACTGGGTTGGAAATCCGACCTCGCAGGCTCAATTGCTTAACTCGTAGGTCTTGAAGCTGAGATATGATCTCAGGCTAACTAGGCCGGTGATGGCAAGGCCAACCTAACCGGTCGAAAAAAAATTCCTACCTCATAGGGCTTAAAGCCGAGATATGATCTCAGGCTAACTGGGGCGGTGGTGGCAAGGCCAACCTAACCGGTCGGAAAAATACCTACCTCGTAAGGCTTGAAGCCAAGATATAACCTCGAACTGACTAGGCCGGTGGCGGCAACACCGACCTAACCGGACTTCGAGCATCGGTGGTGGCAACGATGTCAACCAGGCTGGACTTAGAGTGCCAATGGTGGCAAGGCCAACCTAATTGGTCTTTAAAACGCCGATGGTGGCAAGGCCAACCTAACCGGTCAACAAATGCCTAGTTTGCAGGGCTTAATGCCTAGACATGATCTCGGGCCAATTGATGGTACTGGGGCCAAATTAACCGGACTACCTCGGTGTCGAGACGTGATCTCAAGTTGGGCGGAC